CCGATTATGCATTCTGTTGATGTAGGAGGCTCTATCAATCCAGATAGTCATGTAAGCAAAATTATAAAGAAAAGACCGGGGGGGTGGGACACACCCTTAGCCAAGCAAACCTACATGAATATTTGCCAATGTCTCTTTAGAGGCACTCCACACGCACACAGCTCCATAAGCCCTTCCTGCAGAATATAAATATCATGCAGGCGCACACATTTCAGGTCTAACTACACATAAATCGAAGTAGGCTTTTTGCTCTAAATGTAAAGGCTTGAAATTCCCGGCTCCTTTAGGACCCCAGGTACAATTCTGCCTTCATGACCACCTCCCTCCACCCATCCCAGGTAGACAGTTTTATGCAGCTTGCTGGGTGTGGGTCTCTCAGACTGTACCTGCTTGGCATGGAAATGAGAGATCCCAGGCCATTTAGAAAGGACAAGTAGGGACCTGAGCCCATTTCTTGCCCAACCGTTTACACAGGGTGCTTCATACTAGTTGTCTGGTACTATCATCTAATCTAGACCAAGACATGGCCACATTTCACTACTGCGTGAAATGATGCCTGTAAGTACTACGGCCAAACTGTTCGTGCAGGATGTGCAAAGATGAACGCTGACATCAACTGAGGTCCTTAAAGAACTGGTCTGATTTTCAGAGGCACCGAGCACACGCACTTCCTACTTGATGTCTATTATTTTGGCTGCCTTTGGTAAAGCACTTTATGATTGTCCTGGATGAAAGGCTGGTCTTTTGCATAAATCTAGTTAGAACCTTGCTGTCAGCAATAATCCTATTTATTTCTCCACTAAGGCTTCCCCCATTATTCAGCAGAACTAAATTATGCATCAGCATTGCTAATAAGCACTGCAGAAGAAACAATTTCTATTCTCCAAGATGAAAAACTCTGAGCCATACTGAACGCCAAGTTTTTAATTAAATACACTTCCACACACATCAGACCCACCGCAAATAAAATAATTTACCTTCCTTCCCATTGTGCACTGTCTCTTTACTGATGATATTCTCTGCAGGTCATTTCTACTGTATGAATAAATGCAAACACACAGCAGGTGCCCTGTGCTGAGGGGTGGAGGCCCTCGTATTTAGCTGGAGCATCTCCAGATCCTCATTTTCATTGGTGAAATTTAATACGCTGGTTCGGTGTGAACATGTGAGGAGGATGGAAGGGACCTGGAGTAGCAGGAGAAAATGTTGCTGAAACTAAATTTTCTGGAAGACAAGAATTTGACCATATGATTGAGGGTTGGAAGGCCTCAGGCCCTAGGTAAGATCCAGATTTATAAGGAACACAAACACTCATGCTTTAATCACTAACCACCTGGGATTGGGAGAAACTTCCTTTAAAGCATCAAACACTGCCAGGACATTGGTGATTAGGAAAGGCAGTATTCCTCTGGCATTGAGCAGGGTCAAAGCTTAAACCTGTGAACATCTGTTGTTCTAGTAAAGCTCATCTGTCGTTCTAGTGAAGCTCTGGATTCCCAAGGCCACGGCCTCATTGTTTAAGGATTATATTTAAATACACTTTTGCAGATTACGTAGCTGTTACTCATTCATGCTTCCTCTGCCTCTCTTACACGCATCGTACTATGGTGGACTGGCAGAGTACAGGAACTCTGAGCATACAGTTCACACCCTGGGCTAGCTAATGGTTGGCATCTATGGTATGCAAAGAGGAACAGACAGCAGGCACTTGTACTTTGTAATGCAGATCCTCAACATACTGTGCTCTGTCTCCAGCCAAACAGCCCCACTCTGGGGACCTCACCTGCGTAGGAAGAAGTGTGATCATAAATGGGCAGTTAATGCCCCTGGGCTGCACCTGCTCTCAGCAAGCTGGTTGCATGATTAGGCTTTAAAGGGATGGTCAAGGGAGCAGCGAGGCTGGCCCTCTTTGTATGATCTTCCCTTTTTAAATGGTTACTGCACACTGGGGACGATTCTTTTTCTCGCCTGCCCAAAGCCACCTGGTGTTCCTCATTCTCCACCAAAATCCCTCGCAGCCACAGCCCCTTTGGAATACTTACCCAGCAGGGGAAATACCAGGACCACCAAGGTCAGGGGCGGGCAATTATTTTGGGCAGAGGGCCGCCTACTGAGTTTCAGCAAGCCATAGAGGGCCACATGACAGGCAGCCCAGGACAGATTAATATTCATTTTCTAAATGTTTTAGGGGCCCTGTGGGCTGGACAGAATGGCCTGGTGGGCCACATCGGGCCCCGGGGCCACATTTTTCCCACCCCTGACCAAGATGGTTTTCCCACTGGCTGGGGAAAACCACAAATGTGCCAGGGGGTAGTACCCTGACAGAGGTAATGCATCGTTAGTCTCCCACTTTCACTTCCAGTGGGAAGATTTTAGGCATACACCGACTTCATGGAAATGAGAGACTCCTCCATAGCTTGCTTCTGTGGCCATACAGCTGAGGGCAAGCAAAACTCAGGAGGCATCTGAACCCTAAGCCTCCGGGCTTGGGCCTACACATAGGATGCCCACCAAAGGATTTGGAAGCATCTGAAGCCCCAGGTGGGAGTGGAGGATGCTTGCTGGTAGCAGGACCACACATGGTTCTTGAATGACTCACAGATTTGGAACTGATTTGGCTGATTAGACTTGGGACACAAAAAATTTTCTTTAAAAATAATTTTTAAAAAAATGTAAGTTTAAAACCAGAGAGAGAACGCAGCTCAGCTGGGGCAGGCTGAGTCAGCAGGGTTTCTACTTAAGAAAGAGCCATCTGTGATATGGAGGCCCCTCACTGCCAGTGAAGTCACTGAAGCTTTGATGTCCACATCTCCCAGGAACTGAGCCAGGGTCACTCTTTGTTAGTGCTGCCCTTCTAAGGTGTCTGTACGGACAAGGGAGGAGCAAACACAGTAATGGAAATTCACCTATATACAGTAAATTAGGCCAGGGCTAGTCTGAAACAGGCCAAGAGAGTTCACAAAACAAAGACCTGCAATCTGGAACATTTAAAAGGGAAAATCCCTGCATTATGCTGGCTTGTAAAGGCTCCTGGAAGAAGGAAACACCCCTTCCTCCCTGCTCCCAACATGCGCCCTTTTTACAGGGACCCTCAGCTGCTGGAAATCAGCCCTGCTCCACTGACTGATACTCAGATCTGGTCCACTCAAGCATAACAACAAGAGACAGGACCCAACCCAGTGCCTTAATTTTCCCAGGAGGCCAATGATATTGGAAAAGAAAGAAAGATGTCTTGTGTTTTAGAGACAAAGGCAAAGTCGGCTCAATTCATGCTCAGTCTCTGTTAACACAAATTGACATTTGGTCAGTGAGGGGGTGCCTGTTTCCTGCAGGGGGCTATCTGATCCTACAATTCACCTTCTTTCCAGCTTCTGATAGAAGCAGTTTACTCAGCTTGTGTTTCTAAATAACATTTATTGGTCCAGAGGTGGGAGAAGGGTCCATGGCTGTGCCACCTGGTGACAGGGCCTGGTTAAGCCCATTTCCTGCATTACTAGAAAACTTCCTTTCAAAAGCCACACTCCAAACCAAGAAATGCAGAGCTTATCTTCCCTCTGGGTCTGCAGAAGCAAGCAGCAGAAACGGAGTCACTAAGGGGTGGCTATTCAAATCATAATAAAAAGCACCCAGCCCGCACTTCAAAGGAATTGGCCTTGATCGTTTCATCTCATGGGTCACCAAAATCTGAAAGAAATGACTTTTGTTTGCTTAAAATCCCAGGGAACCCCCCACCAGGTGTATCCCAAGTTATAACGGCTCTCAGTTCAACACTGAGTTCTTCATTGCTGCTACCACGAAAAGCTAGAACAGGACAGATTCTGCATCATAAGATGTGGGGATAATTAACTGCTATCTCTATGTTCAGGATAGAAGTCTTGTACCCTCTCACCTGACCCTTGGTATTTGCTAAAGACCAGCCCAAGTCTATTTGACAAGATCGGGTTCCTGCCAGGATTTCACAAGCAGATGCAACACCTTACTGTTTGAGCCAGCAGTAAAGAATGTGGTGCAGGGTATGGAAGTGTAAAGGAACCAGCTCCACTTGCACTTGACAGGCACACACAGAGGAAGTGACCTTGTGGAGGGGCAGTCGCTCGTGACCTCATGGAGGACCTTTGTGGCTTTCCTTCAGGAGGAAATGGGGGTCTCCTTCCCAAGCAGGAAAGCAGATTTTTCACTTTATGGGTTGTAAGACAACAGGAAGAGGGAGACAAAAGGGGATCGGCAGAGAAAGCTGCTGATGGGCCCATGCAGGACAGCAATGCAACTGGTGCAGGCATTTCCAATCACTGCTTATAATTCCCTGGTCCCTTTGCTGTTTCTGGAGCAAGGAGCAAGACTACGCACCTTCCTAAAGCATTGAGTGCCACCTCGCAGGCACGCTCAGTGTGAGGCCTGTCAGAAATCTCTGCTGCCTGGACTTCCCAAATCAGAGGGATGAAACTACAGCACAAACATTACCCGGCTAAATCTGGAGCTCTATGATGCACACTCAACCCCACTGCAGTCATGGGGATGGTGGTTGGGAAAGCTAGCTCAGAGCTAGGCACAGTGTCTTTCTTGGCTGATGGAGTCTCCTTGCATGGAGATGTCCCAGCCCTGAGCTCATAAACAAAGCCCTGGCTTTTGAAACAGGTTTCATACCGATTCCCTACACCAGAACCTGGGACCAAGGAAACAGCAACACATTAGCTGCGGGAGCGGCTTCTCCAAAGGGCATTTACTCCAACAGCTGGGGAGAGATAATTCTTTTAATGCTACTCAGCAATGTTGTTTCAGAATAAGTTATTAGAGACCGTGCAATCAGGTGCTTCTACCAGCTCTGCCCTACGCACGGCTGCTGGAATGATGCTGAATCCTGACAAGGTCCCTTCTTGTCTTAGCCCGTTGCAAAGACAGAAGGAGACGCATCCAATCAGATAGTCCCCGAAGCACTGTACGCAGCATATGCAGTGTGGTGTTGATAACCTCAGCTCGCCGTAGCCTGCCAGTGCAGCTCATTACAGGAAGCTGGCTGTGTCCTTCAGCAATGTGACAGGTGATTCCTGAGGAAAGGCGCTGTTCTCACTTCCTGTAGGACTGGCTGCCTGCAGAAGAGGAGCAGGAGAAAGGGGTTGTCAGTAAATACGCCTCAGTGTAGATAAGCTCCTACATATCAATAAGAGGGTTTAGGCACCTTGTCACAGTGGAATTTACAGCCCTGCGGTAGGCGTCCAGGCCCCCTACAGTGAACAGAAAGCTAGGTACATATGAATGGGGTCTGCAATTGCCAGCTGGTCAGCGGGAAGCCACCTAAAATGCCCAGCAGGAACTGCTGGTGAGGCATCTTGATGTCCTGTAGGGGTGTGCCTGCCTCCACTCATGCTCCACGACCATGACCCTTGTGTTGGACTTGGGCACCCACACCCCGTTCCTCAAGGACTGTGGAAGGAAGCGGTCATCCTTTCTTTTTAAGCCCAAATGAGGGTTGAGGTGGGAGGGCACTGCGCCAGGATGTGACAGACCTGGGTTCCCATCCTTGCCCCACTGAAATTCAATATGCGAGTGTGACGAACCACGTGGAACAAGGACTGGGCCCCATCTGCATTTTCCCACGTCTGTGCCCTGAGCTGCAGAATCATTCTGATAAAGGCCAGGCTATGCACGGTGTCACTGGAAAAGGAACTCACTTCAGATACCGTCCCCTAAGGGGCTTTGTGCGCCGTGTGTGCAAAGTACTCATCTTTCACACACTACAAACAGCCAGAATGGTGAATCCCAGCCTCCCCCCACCCCGGCCGGAGGCTTGGCCACATGGCCAACGCTTCCTTGTGTATGTGT